CGATACCGCCTCGATCGGCTTCGTAAATTTCCTACGAAGTCGGAAACGGGATTTCGTCTCGATTCATCTTGCCGGCAATTACCGGTAACGCCACATGATCCGTGTTCTCGCTTACCGATGCGCCCGATTCTTGATGTTTCGAGACACGATTATTCTATGATTGCATCGGAATACAATTCTTCTTTGCGATTTCGAAGCCTAGTATTATCTTTAAAAATATGCCGATGTATGCCTTGCTCTTCAATGCCATACGTATCAAAATAATCTCTGTATAAAATTAACACAATATAAACTTAAGATTAGAAATTATATATAAAACTTCATTTATATTTGAAATGCTCTCACAATCAGAAAAAAATAAATATTGAAAAAACAAAAAGAATTTAGATAATTACTGCATATATTTTCTCTATTTCTTATTCTTCGAAATAGTTCCTATTTCTGATTCTCCGAAATCTTCAGCGGAAAATAAATCTACGATCAAAATTGCGACAGAAATAATTATTTGCTTTATTCCTTGGGATAGTTCTCGCTTCGGATTCTTCTTAATCCCCGGCGGAAGACACGAATTCGAGCGGTACACCCGGTTGAAACAGTGGCAGGTTTCCAATTAGGATGGAGGCTCCTTCTCTTTCGGCCGCGCGATTGACTTTCCGTGATATTTTCGTCTTTCTCTTGTATAAATTAGTCCCAGCCACCACATAATGGAGTGTCGATACGCTACTGTCCCCCGGATGATCCCCCCTTTCTAGTTTATTCTTTTAGTTTTTTAATCTTTCATCTATCTTATCCTTCTCTCTCTCTCTCTCTCTCTCTCTCTCATTTTTTAAGAACCTATTCACATCCTTTTTCGTCTTTCCTTTCGTTTGTCTCTCTTCTACTGACTACATATTTAGCCGTTCCTCTCGGAGCTTCAGTCGGCACCGTTCTGTTTTCTTCATCGAGACCGCTCGCCTGCTCATCAGACCGGCCCGCTTAATTTACGACCAATTAATTTGGATAAACTGAATGAGTGGAGACCTGCTTTCGATGCACGCGTTAACCGTGAATATTTCTCCCCTCTGCTCCTGTCCTTTTCGGTCCATCTTATTCAACACGTGAATGTTTTTATTTTATTTTTTGAATCTTTCTGACGGGCGTATTTGACTTCATAATGATGATGTTATTAAAATACATATCGAGAACATTGTTTTCCGAATAAGAATAGAGAAGTGGATCGCGCATATTTGTTATGTAATCAGAAATATTATACACGTAAAATAAAATAAAATAAGTATAAACATATTAAAAATAAAAAGATTCTTTAATATCTTTTGTCTTAGTGCTTAAATGTGTGTTCGCATATTTGTATAAGTGTGTACTATTGTTAACTTTCGGGACATGCGGTAAAAAATAAAATAAAACTCGAATACGATATAAATAAAACATACAATTATCTTTAAAAGACTAAAAATTTTTGTAAAAAATTAAAAATCGGGTGTTATGAAAATCTGAAAACATGAAAAATTCAACTTCGTTTTATACTGAAAGCTTTCCGACTTGAAACCCCTGACGAGATTGAAAAAAAGAGGAGAAAAAGTTATTGATATCCGTTGTTCCACGTAATGAAGACGCAGACGTTGTTTCTCTCTTGAGCGACTTACGTTTTATGAATCACATTGTTAGCGGCGCGGCCATTCGCAACAACGAGCTTTACTACCCGGCGAAGTGCGTGGCGTCCGGTGTCGTCGATGGACCTGTTTGGTATTCCACTCCGGTTCGAGAGCATAATTGGACGCCAACTGGCGACGCTCCTCCGCGTATCGCGAAGACAAGAAATTATTCTTTAATTAATTGTCAGCGCTCAATGTGGCCGTATGCGTAGGATCGGCCGGCTCGGTACATAAATTTTATCTATATGGGAGCGCCGACTGAGGCCGTGCCGAGAAGCGGAGGTGACTGCCACGGCTTTGGAGAACGTAAGCAGGAAGGAGAGAACGAGGGATCTCCGAACAGCTTCCGATCTACACGGGTGGCGAATATCTGGCGCCTGTTTGTAAAGCCTTTAACGGCGAGTCGTCGCTCTTAAAGGATCTCTTTGCGCTTTGCCACCTGTCTCATGATTGGTTCCTGAGTTGTTCTTGTTGCGTGTTCGATTCTTGATTTGACGGAAGAATCCGGTCGTTCTCAATTAATCGATAATTTAATGCGCGATTCAAAGATTTACAGATTAAAAGAGATTTAAAGATCTACAAATCTCTAATTTCTCTAAATCTAATAGGGAAGATCATTTTTCTAATTTTCTTTCTTTATTTTGTTAAGAAATTGTTGTTAAGAAATTATTGCCATTATACACTAAAAAAAGTATAAATTTTAATAAATATTTGGTTGAATGAGGTCCAAGCAAATATTTACTAAATGTAAATAAATATTTATTTGATATAAAAACCATTAATTTGATTTAACTATCATCTTTTTATTGAATAAATATTTATTTACTACAAGTAAATGTTTACTTAGTACTATTCAAAGAAATATGTATTAAGATTAAGTAAATTTTCTTTCAGCATAGGGGCTATCGCAACTATTGATTCATATTGTATTCTCGTAAGAGTAAACTCTCGTTTTCAGTAACGTTTATACATGACATCACCAAATAGACACTTCACAAATCAAGCTTATATAAGGGGAAATCGGTGCAAATCAGTTATCCCGGAATATTGGTAAATCTTACTTCGCGAGTCTTTGACGCCTCCGAACGTCGCGCGATTGCATAAAATACGGAGATGACATAGCAATTATCGGGGACAGTACGGCGCGGCGTCTCTCTTGGAAAGTTGCGCGTCGCCGAAAAAAGAATACTGGGCGCTGCAGGCGCCTATGGCCACACACCGTAAAGCGAGACAGGTGCACACGGCGAAGACACAACGCACAAATATGATAACGGCAAACGAGCTGTCTCGCCACAGGTATGTGTGTGTTAGTGCCGTCTCCTCTATATATATTTTATAATTAGTGGCGGGTTCTCTCTCTCTCTCTCTCTCTCTCTCTCTCTCTCTCTCTCTCTCTCTTCGATAAATCAGAGCGCCGCCCAGGCTTAAGACTTAATTAAAAATTTAGTCAAAAACCAATTAGCAACCACGGCGGATTAACATATTTCTAATTATCTGGCGAACACTTTCGGCCGCCTTATCGACTACTTGCCATATACGAAGCCGAACCTGTCGATGACTGTGCGATACATTCGATCGCGTCGAGGCAAATCGCCTCGCCCGCGCGTATTTTTTTCTCTCTTTGCTCTGCCTCAATATGATGCCTTAGTTGAAAAGTTACGCTCGATCAATTGCATTAATTGTTATTTGCAAATTAATCAGTCGCGAAAAACTGTTCGAATTGATACAATCAATTGAACATCGTTTTACTGATTCTTTTGACATTCCGGGAAACTACTTTTTATGTACTTTTCGTGTTAATTTTAAAAACTTAAAAAGTAAATTTTTATTCTACAATTTATCTGTATTCATCCGTGCATAGAATTTGTAAATGTTTCATCAAGGGTTGAAAAATCGATGGAAAGAACGTAAATACTGAAATCTTTTATTTCACTATAATATACTTCCATGGATAAATTATCATCTTACATTTATACAAGGCGCATAGGTACGTCTAGAACACGCCACATTCGTAACGTTAGCTTTTACTGTCTATGAGCGATTCCGTTTCCCTCGAGTCACAATCGACACAAACGGATACATAATTTACACGCACTCTTGTCTTCTTGCATAGAAAAAAAATTTAATAAGTTTGAAAGATATCGAGATTAGGTGAATACGAACTGTATACTTGCCGATGAGGAATCAATGCAATGGTCCATCCTTTATTTAGAGCACCTATTAGAGATGTCACTGAACTTTTAAAAATTTCGCGACGGTTTGAAAAAAATTCTAATATAAACGAATAGATTTATTTTCTTCAATATGAGGAATTACTTTCGAGAGAAACGACTAATACATTTGATTTCGACCCTTTCTCTATTAATGCTCTTAGACTCGGAATTATTTAAACGTACCTCGCACATTCACGTCGCTGCATTCTCTCGATCAGTCCACATTAAAAACACATCTGTGAACGAACGTTTGCTAGATCCAACGCGGTTCAAATCGTTAAAACTAACGCTCTCGTTCCTCGCGATTCCTCTTCTTGACGGTAATCAAAGCGTCCTGTACACGTGTGTATATACATACGTACACTCATAGTTACCGTACGAACGCGTATCTATTTACACTATGTACACTCGTGCTTTTTCTTGAGATCAAAGTTTCATGCACCTCTCGAGGCGCCGATATATACGTATTCCATCGTCTCGAGAAATTTACGCGACGATGTTTCTTCGAGCTACAGGTCTTCCAAATGATAATTTCAGATTTAATCGATCGTATCGAAATTCAGATTATCTGTATCCCTCTGGAGATAAGCCATCTGGATTAACGTTCAAGTATTGTCACTATATAACCTTCCTAACCAATTTCGAACGTTAAATGGTAGATCCCAATATCTTCGGTATCGGTAGAAGATTGGACAATTAAACTCGAACGGAAGATGAACTAATAAATAAAAGTGGCTGAAAAACTTCAGGCAATTTTTCTGCTTCACATAAAAGAAAGATCACTTAAAATCCGTTTTATGGATCTATTATTAATTATTTAATTAGACTTCTTTCAACTTTCTAGTTTCTGAAGTTTCTAGTTTCTCAAAATCTTGAGTTCTAAAATTTTTAGCACTTGCTCTCTTGAACCTTCAAATTTAGCTTTAGTTTTTAAATCTCCAAGCTCTTAGATTTTTCAACCGCTTCGTAAATTCTCAGTTCCTAATTCTCGAAATTATGTGAGTATCGTCTGAAATTAAATTCACGGAGTTTGGATTCTCTTTCGGATTCTTAAATATGCAATTTTCGAATCCATGAATTCTTGATGATTCATAGATTCTATGTCATCGAATTCCATTTGTGAGCAGGTTGGGTCTTCAGACGATGACATTAAGAATGATTTCGAATTACACGCGTATTATATCTTGGAATATCATTATTAAGGTCGGTGCCCAGGCGGCCCCATGAACATGGCCGCCGCTGCTGCAGCATGGGTGTGCCTAGCCATGGCAGCTGCAATGAAGGGAGGTACTCCTGGGGTACCAGGCGGACCTACCCCAGAGAACATCAGCCCCGATCCGAAACTGGGGTGCAGCAGAGGCCTCGCGGATAGTCTTAGCTTCTCTATTTCCGCTTCTTGAAGCCGCTTCGCCTTGGCTCTTCGGTTTTGAAACCAGATCTTCACCTGAAACATTACAGTATTTTCGATTTAGAACAATAACGAACGAATTGATATTATACAAAATTCGTTCATATATCGCTTCTTCATTAATTCCTCAAATATTTCTCGGATGCATGACACTTGAGATTTAATAGTATAAGCTTTAAATATTTTTATAACATCAAAGTTACAACAAATAAAGTCTCTCCAGAATCAATCGTATTTGTATTTTAAAATAAAATACAAATAAAATCAAATGAATTAAGATTTTTGTTACACATTATTATTAACAATATTATTAAACACATGGAATAAAATTAATGATTTAAGAAGGAATCTTTTTTTCACGAATCATTAAAAATATTGGTTCTTAAGGTGTTGAATAACGTGAGAAATCATGCATTTTAATATTGTATTGCATTATACTATGCGACACCTGCAAACATTACATAAGTGCCATTATTGGTTGAGGTCGCGTTTAATACCAGTGGCTGAGGATTTACAATCGACAAATAGCATATTCAAACCGTGCGAGTTACTGCAAACGTCTGAGAATCCATAATTAATAAAATTACGCAGTAATTTTACTATTTAACGCGTTACCACCAAGAATGTGGTCTGAAACAAATAAAGATTTTCTGCGTAAAACACACGCGAGTCATTTAGCGCGTCGTTAAACAAAACAGTCGGCAGAGCATTCAGTTTCCAGCAGGAAATTATCGACGTATCGAGAAATCCTCGATGTCATAAGACAGCGACACGAGCTTATACCTAGCACTCGAGTTTATACACGCAGATGTACGTGTCGGGTCAACATTAAATCGCGTTTAATTGTTATTTGCACAGTCGTGAGCGTCATTTACGCAGCTGTCGCTTTAAATCGGTTAATTTGCGGCACTTTTGGTTCGAACATGAAAAGTATATTTTGGGACTCCAAATACTTATTTTCGGCAATATACATGAATAGGATAATTAATGTGCATTCGGGTGTTCTCTAGAAAACATTAAAAAAAATAAAACGATTTCAAAACTTTGTTTAATTATTTTAACAATGTTTCAATTTTATAGACAATTTTATAGACAATTTTATAGACAATTTTATAGACATTTTAAATTACTTGTGACAACCTATGCCACTTAAACTTACGTTACTAACTAAACTACATTTGATACAAACCATTGAAAGTTATGGAAAGAACAACTTTATTGAAGTATCTAAAAATTTATTACATACAGTTTTCTGAAAATAATTTTGTTGAACTATTATAATAAAATAATTACAGTAGGAAACTGAAACCTTGATGAGCAATAATGTTGCAAAAAATTTTGACATTTTAGCAAGAATATCTACTAGCTTGAGTGCCTACATAATTATTTTGATAGTATAATAAAATTATTTTTAGATCTATATTTAGCTAAATTTTTAGATACTTCAATGAAACTGTGGTATCCGTGTAAAAATTTCGGTTAAATTAAGCCTAAGATAGAAAACGGAATGTAACATCCTAATTGTTATTATATTCCTGTATAATATATGAATTAAAATTGATTCCAGGATTGAGCATTTAATAAATACGAAAAGAGTGTTAACTGTTTATGTTTTCTCTTCGTCGTCATAAAAGAATCAAATGATACTACGTGTGATCATATGGATAAATATCGCCACAGCTTGAGTGTCACGATTTGAATTGTAGACATACTTCTTTGTCCGTGGTGAATAATGAGAGAGAAGAGAGCGCGATCGAAGGAATGGTGACTCAAACGACACGAGGAGATGGTGGGGTAATCGTAGCTTATCTAAGCAAATGAATGTGTGATGTAGCTTCATTTCGATTGATGCATTGTAACGAATGCGCAAAGTGTATCTTAGCACGCTAACCTGCGCGATAATAGCCTACTCTGTTACGTACATGGCAAAGAATCACGATATTCCAAATGGAGAAGAGCACGTATAATAATAATAATATTCGCGACATATAATAATAATAATAATTTTCGTGAAAGATAAATTTGCAATTAACTATTAATTCGAGCGTAAAGATATTAAAGATGTGTAAATTAATTTACAACACAAAAATATTAGCTTTCATTATAAAAGCACGCTAATGTGATTGGTTTATTATCGTTCAATAAAATAAATATAAACAGATAATTTTAACTGACTTTTATCAATAACCTCATTAATCGAAGAATATTTCATGTTTGATTCAATATCAGTTTTAAAGTCAATATGTATTCTTTTTTTTACTTATTTTATGTTATATTTATTGTGAGTAATAAGTAAAAATACGTTCTTCCCAATGCATTTTACGTTAATTACAATCAATTTGTATTAAATAATAATAATTTATTACGCTTTTATAAATAACGTTTCTTAACGTACATTTATGTTTCACTGGAGATCGTTACATAAAATGAGACTTTTTCAATTCGCTAAAAGAGCTAATTACTTGTATGTCAACTGTCCAGCGTCTCACCTGCGTTTCTGTGAGATGAAGAGACGACGAGAACTCCGCTCTTTCGGCTATCGTTAGGTACTGTTTTTCGCGAAATTTTTTTTCAAGCGATAACAGCTGCTGCGTCGTGAACGGCGTTCTCGGCTTCCGGTTCGGTTTGTGCTTTCTGAGAGTGCACCTAACCGGGCCTGGTCCGGGTCCCGGTAATCTTAAGTCTCCTGAAACCAAAGAGAATACATGCGTTCTGATAGGATTTGACTTCGTATCCTTTCGTGTGAATAATTTTAATCGTTAGTATACACGATAATTTTCTGATTCTTTATTATACATGATGGGTCGTTCGTGTCTCATGTCAATTTTCATCACTTTCACAAATATACAAAAAAAAATTATTAAGTGATTCTTACATCATGTATATCTTAAATCTTTTTTTGGAAGTATTTGTAAGGTTGTGTGCATTTAAATAAATTGTGTATAAATGTTGTAACTAATTATTTAATGCTCCTAGTTTTTCGAAGAGAAGAAACGTACAGGATACAAATATTTAATAATTAATTGTGTACTAAAAGTAATAAATAAATTAGCATTTCCAGTGAACTCTTATTTACTTCAGAAAAATGCAAATTGAAGTGGATATTGTTACAAAAAATTTAGAAAGTTGATTTTCAACGAAAAACAAAATTTTTATTAGAAAATCATTCAACACACTTCGATCTCGCCCGTTCTCGTTTCGAGTTGATTCAAACCGCTATTCCTCTTTAAAAAGAGAAGAGATGGGGATTAAAATAGCATTACTCTGCACCACTCTGTTATCAGCATCATTAGAGATACGTTAATAATGATATTCGCGGACATTTGTATCTGTACTATTAAAACGCCAGTCCCATCTTCTTGCACTCATTGAATGATAATTAACCTCGGATGTGCAACGTTAGTCGTTAATTTACGATTACCCGGCAACGTCGGCAAGAGACGCGTTTTCATAGGTTTCGCATGATGAAGCGATTACGGTCTCGCAATACCGGCTGAAGGGAGGGCGCAAATTAAATAATAAAAAATAAATCGCGCTCGAATGCTCAACGAACGGCGCCTAATTATCAACCCATCCTGCATCCGGCGCGCATGATTATCATTGACCGTCGTTGTTTACGATCAGCTCATGTACGTGCAATTAGTTGGTACTGCGTAAAGTTTCGCCACCTCTCCACGGTAGCACAATTATATCCGGCAACATTCCCGCATCATGTCATTCATTTGTAAATCCATTTTAAGCTGACCACTTCGTTAAAATTCACTTAAAAATAAGAGATAAAAAAATTACGTATCCTATATGAAGTAGAAATATGTGTAGCGAGGGCTTATGATAACGCTATGAATGTTTATTTATTTTTTTATTTTAGACCGCGATAATTAATATCCCACGTTAGAGATGCGAATTTTTCAAGCGACGCACAAGGGACCAAATGAAGTATTGACATCTCTTAAAAATTGCAGTTGGCTTGCCAATAACTCTTCTTAACGCCCGCGCACCATTCTATAATTAGACATATTATTTCCCTATAACATACGCCACACTATCTCGCGCCGCATTCAAAATAAGCGATTCGTATGAGAGGAAGAGTAATTGATATCTCGTGAAAGCGACCCTGCGTCGGCCAGATGCGAAGTTACATCGCGACTTTGTACGGCTACACCGTGCTGGCACCGTGAAAAAGTGTTTTCGACATCCTGCACGACGAAATGATGACGATTTCGCATCGCGGCGAGGAGGGCATCGTGTGGATTCCGAGCACTAATTAACGTTCGACCGAGTACAAAAAAGGCATAGGCCGCCGGCATTGTCAACCGGATCAGTCAAGACACCGGTATCACGTCTTCCATTCTCGTTCCACTGTGCACCGCTAGTTCTCCATTTCGCATGTCACTTGGGGAAGCTTGTTGGGCTTTACGCACGTAACTGATCAATATGTTTTCCCAGGAGGCTAATTAATTTCTACTAATTAAATACCTATCTGGATGAATTGAAAATCGTGGATCTATCCGCTACCACTTTTTTTCGCGTTTAAGAACATCGTGTGCGAGTCGTGACAACGCACAACGTGATCTTATTATCAAACATATCACTAATTACATGTTATTGCCATTCGGTGATATATTTTGATTTTTATTTTCATATTAACATTGAAAATTTGCTGCCTTGAGTCACCGAGTTAATGGATTATTAATGCGGTTAATACTCGAGTTACAATGTTATTTACTTGTTTTAGAGAGAAAAGAAAAACGGGTCTAAGATAGTCTAATGTAAATAAAATGACCAATATGCGAGATTGCAAAAAGAATTACGCAAGAAAGACACGACGAATCCGCACGTAGCCGGATAATCTGTCGTTACATGTCGATGTCGCATCCATTCATATGGTAATATAGCGATTTCATGTCGCTCATCGAAGTTGGCCATGCCGCGCACGTAACTGATCAATATGTTCTTCTTGACTGCTAATTAATTTCTGTTAATTATCCGACCGCTGAAACACGCACGGGTGCGGTTACATAGCTGTAAAGCGGATGTTGTCGTTCTGATAAGTACACAATCAGTTCGCCTTCCATGTAAACTTTTCGGTTAGACAAACGTGCGACGATAAAAGATTGATCCGGCTCATTGTCGAATGTCTTACGGCATTAAATCAGCCTAATTAAAGAGAGAGACTTGATGTACTGAATCGTAAATTACTGCACACGAAAAAACTTTTGCTGAAGTATCTAAAAATTCAGCTTAATACCATCTAAATCTAAAAATAATTTTACGTACAATTTGCAAAATCAAATATGTATATAAATTTATATAGAAATATTTAAGCATTATAGATCCACTTTCACCGAAATGTAGGATTTCTCTTATTTATTAGATTTATTCTCATCGGTCCAAATTCGTATCATAATTAAAAATAATTTTGTTGGACATCAAAGTAGTTGCATAGAAATTTCAAGTTTAATGAACAGTGTTGCAAAAATTTTTGACATCCCAGCAATCGGTTTGAGCGTCCTATATAATTTGAACAGTCAACAAAATTATTTTTAGATTTGTATTTAGCTAAATTTTTAGCTAAATTTTTAGATTTAAATAAAATCCTTTCTATGGATTATTTATTAAAATCACAAGTTTTATATTACAATTAATATTGGATTATAATAATGTACATATGGACATCAGACTGTAACATAAAGCAAATTTATTCTGAAATTTATTCTGTAAAAATAAGATCAATATAATAAAATCAGATCTTTAAAATTGTGTGCGCAATCATATTTGAGCGTATAATTCTTGCGAATATTTTTACGAGATGCAAAATTTTACAGAAGGCAATCGCAATCCTTATGAGACCACGGCACTACTTTCATCAACGGATACTGAATTTTCAGGGATGCTGAAGAGAGACGCGTTAACTGGCAGACGGGCGTCGCGTCGGGCCGCTGTGGAACGGCCGAGCCGGGTAATTACGTCCATGGAATGATGAATCGTCCGAAATATTTTGTAGAACATCATTGGACGCGGGGCGGGCGTCGTTAATTCATTCCTGCGCGCGCAATCCAGATAAATGCGTACGGGCAGCGGTGTTCGAGCGTTATAAATGACGTCCGTATTCATAATTTTCGTAAGCCGCCGCCCAACGATGGGCCCCGGGGATTATCGGCTATATACGAGCCCCGTATCACACCTCCCCCCTCTCCCCCCCGAAATAACTGTCAGTGGTGAACGCTTAATGGAAATGGGCTAATAAGCTTTTCACTGTCTAATTTTTCAGAAACGACTTTTGTGCAGATATGATTCGAAGAAATATTTCATGATCAAAAAGTGATGTATTTATAATACTTTATTACTTATTATTTATTAAAAATAATTAAAGGATATCTTGATGAATCTGGATTATTTTATGTTAGATAATTTTTTTCTCATTAACTTTTAGAAGGAAGTCCATTTTTTTAAATTTTACAACTTTTCCTTGAGTAAGATTTGTTTTTATTCGTTATTTTTTTATTAGTTATTTTATTCGTTATTTTATTCCTTATCTCAAAATATATACTGTTTTAATATTACAATGGTACTTTCTCGTCTTGTAAAGATTAAATTCTTAGTGGAAATTTTAAAATTCAGGTTTTCATTTTCTGATTAATTAATTAATTATTTGTAATTTAGACTCACTTAATCTCGTGATAATGTAAAAATTGTGTTTTTTTTAGTTATGATTAATCATTATATTGGTTTTGTAGTATGATAACTTTAAAAAATACTCGCTATAAAATCTTCAGTTTAGTGATTAACCACTCAGGTAGAACACAGTCACAGTTAAGTCATAACGATATATCATAGGACGTCATCATAACAATTCTTACATTATCATCATTTGTCACTTAAAAATGAACTTAAGTAACAAATAAGATGATTTCCTTATAATATTATTATGATTTCTGTGTTCTAATACACACGGCTAGAAAAATACAATTTTTATAATATTTATAATATTATCGTCAGATTAAATTTTATCATAAGTTAAATTAGAAAATAAAACATTAGGCTTAAGTAAAATACAAATCGTTACAAATCGGTTGATTTAATTTAAAACAATATTTTCAAAATTTATCTTACCTCTCGCAAAATATTATTTTATGTACGCTAATTTAACGATTTGTAGAAAAAAATTGTTCTTGTTAAATTTCTCTGTAAAGTATTATAAATACACACAATGACTCGATTGATGATACAATGAGGAAATGTTAATTTGCGTCATTCGGAGCTTCTTATCAAAAATACCGAGGACTAAAAGACGCGGTAATTAAACGAATTCCTATAAATGAACAATCATCTCGGGACAAAAGCGACACTGCACGATAATCGCGATTGCAATAATGGTGCATACCGAGTTGCTCCGGCTTTCGTTCAAAGTGCTGGTATAATTGGTGTCGCGCACCAATAGCGGAAAGAAAACGAGGAGGAGAAATCATAAGAAGAACGCGGTGCGGGTCGAGGGGGCGAATGGTTTGTCGTTATCGTTCGCAAAAAGCTTTGCCAAGCGACATCGCACAGGAAGCTGAATGCGCTACACCAAACTTAACAGGCCACTTTAACAAGAGCAGTTTTTACCAGGGGTCTCTTGAATGCATTATGGATGTCGTGAGTTATATATGACTCTATCATGTCGAACTGTTAGCGATCCCGGCTGGCGTGCGGGCCGATCATCGCATTCTCATCTTTTTCCGTTTTTCGTTTTCTGTCGGCAACGTAAACAGTGTGGAAAACAAGATATGGAAAACAAGCGCGTAGTTGCTCTTATGCATTCTCATCAATTTCGTTATTGTATCTATTTGTTGTCCCTCCATGATTTACTGTCAATACCGCTTTACATCAAGCGTTATATTTTGAGCCGGATTTTATTACGGTTGACACAAATGATGTAAATGCGTTTCATTCAATTATGCCACTTTAAAAGATACACAAGTCCATATAATAGTCAGCTTTTATGCGTTCCCATTAGCTGCGGGTTCGCGTGTCTTTCCAATATTCTCTCATTCTCCGGTTACTATTCATGTTGTTTTACATTGAGTGTTACATTACTTTTAATTATGTTACTCTCTCTTTAAAAGATAAAGTAATGAATATAGCAGGTAATATTCTCTTGTACGTTTATATTATTAGTTTTACGCTTATTATTTTTCTAATATTCTCCCTTTTCCGATTTCACTGCGAATGTATGCTGCGTTAATTGTTCAATTATGTATTTAAAAAAATAAGGAAAATTATACTGTGTAAATTTCTCCAAATTTCTCTAATAATTTTCTTCTGTCACTTGTCGCAAAATTAATTTTATTGTTTGCGCAATTATGAAAAAACTTTGTAGATATTATCCATACGATTATATTGCAGAAAACTATAATAATGCAGTGTGGATTTTTTCAAAAATTTGTAAAATAATTCATTCTTCAAGGCGATTCTTTCGCCATCCTCGTTAAATGTCCTAGAAGTAAATAATGTTGCGAATCTCGAAGTTCCTACGAAATTATATCTACGCGTAATGAGGAACTCGTGCTGTTTCCGAGAAAGAAATCTCTAAAACCATTATGAGACTCCTGGCGAACATAAAAGTTTACGCGCGAGGCCAAATACAAGGAACACTCTCGTCCTTTTGCACTTTCACGAGTACTCGAGATGAAGTACTTCGAAGAGAGTATCACGATGTACGATTCACTTATTGCGCAAGAGGTGTCAGTTACACCTTAATGAGGTATTACTTTAATTGTCCATTAAGAATGGAGTAATGTTCATGAGTCCTTTACTCACAAGACAACACGAATCTTTGCACTTCAATGTCTTTCTCCATTAGTGGAATCTTCTACTCGCTTAGATAAATGGTAATGACTACGAATTGTGGAAGGATTAATAATGGCTCAATGTGCATTGTCATCGTAATTGATATCATATTTCAAACATGAAAATTCCAAGATTGACAATATTGACTGAATATGAACCAAGAGAGGTTCAACACAAATCACTATAAATATTTAGTCAATGATATTCGTTCCTATATGTGTATTTTTACAATTCCCAGTTTAAGCAAACTATGAGTTGATTATTTGTCGGTTTTAAATAATAATCGGCGTGCAGTTTGTTTGAATTGGAAATTGTAAAAATTCATGTATAAATATGTGTCATGTATAAACATGCAAAAATATTCTAGATTGACTTAAATATTTGTTTTGCATCAAATAGATATAATTGAATCGAACAAAGTATATTTAATTCGTATCTTGATTCTTGTTTACAACAATCGAATTTTCTTCAAGCAATTGCTAATCTACGCGAGATAAGAGACAGCGAGAGGTCTTACAGTTGGTAATTAATAAATCACAACTAATTCTCTCGTTTAAGTCATCGTAAATTATTTATCAGTGAAGTGTTCCCAAGCGACGTCTAATTATCGGGACTTGGAACCGCCACGGCTTTTCTTCTCGATTTATTAGCCAATTACAATCCATATATTCGCCACCAGTCATGAAACAAGATCTGTATCTTTGTACGGCTGATCACTTTTGTACCTGTCCCGAGAATCGCGCTGGAGTTGCTCTCTCTTTCGAGGTTTCTCCTTCCTCATTAGGCAATTACGTTGAGTTTTATCTGCGTGTCCGATTTTTCGCTCGCGTCACCTCGTGCCTCCATCACACTAGAGGCGATGGAAAACACATTCCGTCATTGCTTTGTAAGCGCCGATCATGCGTCCTAATAGCCTAGATATATGACATCGAGCCCGGCGCATCGATCGAACTTTCCGCGCCGATCGTACGCATTTCAAGGAACCGATCGCGGTTTCAAATCGTAACATGAACTTGAATTCCGCATTGACATTTGTGGAATAAACTCGGAAAAGATCTGCAAATCAATCGAATTGCAATTCTGTGCGGAAATCGATACTAACATCGAGTAGAAGGAAAATTACGACTATACCTAGTTTCTCGTATAAAGTAAAACCCTCGATAAATAAACGATATTAATTCTTATACGTAGTTTCTGGGAATTAACCGCTAATGCGTTCATAGCAATTCTACGTCTACAAATATTGTACGACATTTGATAATACTGCACGATAAAAATGTTAGATGAAATGAATTTTGATTGACAAAAGAACAGAGTAACGTAATAATTTCTTAATTAATTAATTAATAACTACAAAAGCTAGTCTATATATTAATTGTGAAAGCTATCAGTTAATTTCATTTAAATGAATCAGTAATAAATTTGCATCTCCAATATTTCCGCTAAAAAATTTATTTGATTATTTATTGATCCGTAAGAAAACATGATAATTTTGAAATTATAGCTGTCACGTATTCGATCGTTTATTTAAATTAATAGCATGAAATCCCGCATGTGAACAAGTTCTATCCCAAAGTTACACAATTACGACAGTCAGTGATTATGGAATATAGAATTATATGCTGAAGAATGCAACGGATCGTTTTAATCAAACTGCTGACTGAATTGATATTGGCAATATTCATATCTTCAGTTAATGACTGTGATAAAATGTGATATGTATTCGTCGAAATATAAATATTTATCTCTTGAATTGTATCATATTTAAGGTCTATTAGTCTTGTTATGCATGTTAAATTTTTTTGGTTAAGAAGAAATTATTAGGGAAAAGATATCGTGTCCATCGCGATGGCAGTTTTAAAGTCTTAGCTTTAAGCTTCAATCACGACGAAGGTAAACTGGAATACGATCGAATTCTTTGGCACGTAAGACCGACAATGTCCGCCTACTCGCGTGATCCACGGCACTAATGCAAAACGTTATGAGTCTGCGTGTCATGCATTCACAGTTGCATTAAGAGTTTGCGTTTTCAATCTGATTGCCGACATTGTACCTGGTAGGATCAAAAAAAGCAAGTACAGTGAAACTACTCTTGTTTGCGCGTAATATTCCTTTTAAATTTCTTAGACGTAATTTATTTTCAAAGAATATTTTTCCACGAATAATTATCAGCTACTAAACTATGATTACAATATTAAGTTGAAAGATGATAACTTTTGGCATATCATTACCATCTTCTGCGAGAGATTTATTTGACGAAGTCCAGTGATGTAAATCGTAAAATGTGTAATGTGCTGACGTGAACATGCGAATGAGTTTATTTATTAATACATAGCATGAAATTTCACACATTCTAAGGTGTAGACGATCTTAACTAGAGTTAAGATCGTCTCTCCCTTGTAATATCACTAGTATACTGTTAGATTTATAATGTCAAATTTAATCTAATTTAAGTCACTACTCTTCTTCAGTATATCGATATTTTATATAAAACAATAGTTAAAACAATAGTTAAATTTTACATTACGTAGTCAAATTTAACCATTATTTTATAAAATAACGATATATTGAGGGACAGTGGCGACTTAAATTAGATTAAATTATTATTATAAATTATTATTTTTTTAATATACTAGAAGGTTGAAACTAAGTAAAATTATGATTGAAAACCATTTCATTACAGTGTAATCTTTAATATAAGTGTAAAACGCAAATGGCAGGTGAGAAAAAAAATGACGAGGAGGAGTAAAGGTTAAGCATGACATTCGTGCTAGTTTTACCGTTCGGGCTAGTAGGTCCACCATGTGGTGTGTAAAGATGTCCATGAGGATTGTGCGGATGCGGGGGTGGGGGCAGCCACGCGAACCCCGCCAGAGAATGCGGAAATCCCGCGGGGTTCCAACCGGGAGCGCCGGGTGCTCCAGCGAGATACGGCGGGCCCTGCGAAGGCCTTTGCACTCCGGGATGAATCGGCTGAGGCACTACCGGGCTAGACTTCTCTTCCTTCTCCTGGCTAGTTTCCAGGTCCCTCTCCAATTCGCAATCCGAGTCCATCACATTTAGATCCTCGGACTGACCGACGCTTCTTATCTCATGGTCTTCAAGATCTAAATGATCCGTCGTACGGTCTCCTTCTAACGAGCGATTCGCTTCAGAATCACTACGATCGTCGAGAATCTCTCGTCTGCTCGCGGGCGATACAGATCTCGGATTAGTAATCCTATCGATCCTTTCGTCTTCTTCCTGAATATGCTCTTGTTCTCGTTGGAGCATCGTCTCACTGATCCCACTCGGCGAATTGGCCATCAGTCGATCTCTCGGGATCTCCTGGTCTATTCTGATAGGCGAGGACGACTTGTCGTGACTCGTCCTAGAGAAATCTTTCACTGTAAGCATCTCTTGTCGAGCGGGCGGGTGATCTTGCTCGAGTCTGTTCGGATGATGATGATGGTGATGATTGCCGAAGCCGGCGAGACCGTGAGGACTCAATCTAGCGAGTAATTCTCTACTCTGAAGTCTCTGCTGTTCTATTAGGAGTTCTCGATACCTTGCTTCTATCTCAATATTTTTTTCGGTATCCATTCTGTCATCGTTATCTCGCCTTGTCGCGAAAGTGCCACCGCCGATGGCACTCTTCTTCGTGCCACTTAGCAGGGCATCGACGCTGAAGCTGATCTTGCCGCTTCGTGGCTTTAAATTCGAAGATGCTGACGTCGGAGTAGCCATGTCGACGTCCTCGCACAAACGATCGTTACCGGAATCTGGGCCCGTCACTACGCTTTCGCTGTTGCTCATGCCGATTCTGTGTCGGCCTCTTAAGTTCTCGAACTATCACAAGTATCTCGAAATACGACAATTCTAATCTATAAAACTACACTTCATAGTCATCCAAAGATGCGAATAAAAAGATCGTTTGGTCGCTTTCTTAGTTCCATGTTGTGTATCCAATGTTCATTAAACTGTAAATTCTAACTCCGAATAAGTCGCACCTAGTTTCAGCTAACAGTCGTATTAGCTTTTCACAGACGTCCGTTAAAGAATGATGGACGTGATACATTGATGCCATTGAGCCGCAAGGCATTTTCAGTCAGTGTCGATCAGTCACATCGCGATTCCTGAACGAAACTCGCTAACGTTGTAGAGACTTTCCGAGGCGCAGCCCACCACCTTAATAAGTTTCTCGTTCCGTTATTCTTGGAATCCGCCGCATCGCCGCGGAATGACCCAGCCGACACGAGCGGATTCCTCCATTAGAGTCAGAAGAGTGTTTTTAAGATATCAACATGATGATCCAATTCTTCTTACCTCTTAACTTTTATACTTTTCGCATCCTTGCCGATTCTCAGCTGATATTCTCATACGGCAACCCTCTTTTCGCGATACTTTGTATTCCTTTCACTCAGACAGCGTTTAACGGATCTGTATAAAAACATTTAAACGAAGCGCGCAGAATGGAATCTACGCTGTATAATACTCTCTTTGCGAGAGACGATGTGTCGTGGATGAACCTCACGTTGACAGCTTTCGCTGTCATGATAAATTCTAATTATTATTCTAATCCGTCGTGTGTGTGTGTGTGTATATTTCAATGATATTTTAAAAGATATTTCTAGCATTGAGCTTCTCACGTTTTAAACTTAGATCTTTCTTCATGACACGATATATTACAATATTTCGTCTATTTTATCATTAAGTTATAAACATCAATGTTTACATAACGACGTACGGGATCCTTGGAAGTAATAACTTGGAAAGATTAAATGCTGATTTCCAAGATCAAGAAAGTCTGTCGCTGTCATCGACGCGTTCATCAGCACGTTTCATTAAGCGAACATTGATACACGATCTCTTCTAATGCTTCTGGGTTTCAATCGAGGCACTCAGTTTCTTCGTGCACCAACAACGCGGTCTCTCGCGACCTAGACGATTCACCAAGGCAGTCGAGTGCGTATTCTAGCTCTGATCGCGCGACGGTGAGGACACAAGGTGGGAGTGCTGTAGTCGTCCCGCGAAAAGAAATGTCGGCAGTACAAATGTAATCGGTTGTAATCTGTGTAATCTGCCGCGTGGTGACCGCCACTGCCGCGGAAACGGCACTGATTACCAGCTCGGCTGCACTCGCGGTGGAGAGCCCTGCCGGGGGGGGGGGGGGGGGGGGCTCTCCATTCTCTCTCTCTCTTTCTCTCTTTCTCTTTCTCTCTATCTCTCTTTTCTCGTTCTCGGCGTTGCGATGTTACCGCCGGGTGCGCACCGCCCCCGCAACGCTAGCAAAACCGGTACCGTGGCCTGGGCTCGACCAATACGCGCGAGCCGACGCACATCTCGGGCGTTTCGAGAATGGGCGTTCTTCGTGGTTGAACGTGGACCAATAGCGGGCGACGAGGTGGATCGAAACCCGTAGGGGAAACCCCCTTCTTCCGGTTGTCTGCAACCGTCAGATGGAGCTGGCTGCATCGCCCGACGTCGGAGAGTGTCTCGAGGTGGTGGAGAACGCGGATGGTCGATGGAATGTGGCTACGGTGGTGGTGGTGGTAGTGATGGTGGTGGTGGAACGCGGTGGGACCGAGCGGAACGTGACGACTCCTAATTGTCTAATTCCCGGGCGCGCAATGCGCGAATTGATTGGCAATACGGGTGCACGTGGCTGTGTGCACGAGCGCATGGCTGGGAGGGCAAGCATCCCTCTCGCGTTCGTTCGTACGCGTATACAAACCGCGCGGTACCTCGTTCCGCTCTCGTGAGACCGAGCGATGGCTGATCTAGAATTTATATATTGTCGGTGATATGCACAATCCCAACGTCTATCACATTTAATTATCGGTGGGATATGACGTGTTGAGACACATGACTGGAATGACTGAATCCTTCCATTCGACAATCTGGTTTTCGATTAATTGTTTGTGCTCAAATTTGTGCTTATAAATAAAAAGAAGAATTATTTTCAGAAACACTTGAAAACAATATTTCTCGCGCGAAGCTAGATACTTATTTTCAAATGACGTAAATAAAACATGAAAATGTTACTGAAATAAATATTTTATCTCGATTGATATTCCCCTCTTTGGATTATTTTTCGAGAAATAGGCTATTTTTTCCAAAACTCACATAGATTTTTAACTATTAAAATTTTTTAACAGCTGATGATATTCTACTTTCAATAATTTCACAAAAAGCAGTTTTTTCCTACACTATCGCGGAATATATAATACACACCTACGCTTATACAAGAATGTAAATCAATAAAAATAAACAAATATTTGCGCTCTTTATGAGGAAATAAGGCGGGATGTCCCACTGATAGGAGAGATGGATTGAAGCGACATATTGAATCTCCGATCCAAAAGAAGGAAACACATCGATACAGCGAGGGTGGGGAAGCGCCTGCAACACGCGCGCGCTCTTTTCGCGAGGAAAGAGATACCAGAAGGCAGGGAGCAAGCGGAAAGAGAGAATTGAGCCGTCAAGCATAGGGGTTTTTGTCGTTCGCCAGTCACCAACAGGACTGAGAAGGCCTTGAGCAACGTACGAACGTTGTCTTCCACTTCATGACGTTCTTATTCGAGTTTGTCGCATTAGCATGTTAAAAACAAACATTTAATTAAAAGCCACGATAATGAAGTATTGAAGCAGCGAGCATACCTTTTTGCGCAACTTCATAAGAAATCGATACAAATTTTTTTTATATAATGTAATTAAAACTGTAATGACTTAAGATGGCTGAATCTTAATTAATTAATATTCAGTTAAGCGAAAACTTTTTTTAATTCCCTCTTATCTCTAGATCTTTTTTTTAGCATGTAACATAAATTTAATTTACATAAATTATTTCATGGCTATAAAATCGTCTGTTAAATACTTATGACTAATGTAATTAGAGATATTTATTATTTCGATCCTCCAATTAAAAATAGTGAGATTTTTCAAACAAACAGATTTATTTATAATTTTTATATTTATATTTAATAAATTTGATTGCTTTGTACAAATATGATACGTTAGTCTTAAAAGAAGCAAAAATTTGTAAAATTCTATTGTTGGCGATATAGGAAACATGATATTGTATCCACAAGCTCTTAGCTAGTATTGTAAACAAAATATATAGCATGGAACAATCGCGACAATGTCACTACACGATCAGCGATATCTTAGGATTATACTAATCCGATTGACATTGTGATGAAGGTAATAACGAGCAAGTTTTTTGACATTACCCTCGGTATGTCCCACAGGATAAATCAACTTCAAAGAAGGAAATTTCGGACAAGCCGATTAACCTTTGGAGGATTGCGAGACGTTATAATGTCTTAAAATCACTTTCATCCGATTATAATATATATTTTTTCCTAGAGCCAAATTTTTGGTGGTTTAAGAAAAAATTTCTGCTCTTTTAAAGATTAAGGAAAACTTCGGTTATAATCGATTACTGACAAGATGTAGATTTTTGCGAGTAGTATTGTTACACTGCTACCACGACACTTTCGTAATTCCTGGCGATTCTTCTCGCCTTGGGATTATGTTACGGGCGTTACGTGTGAGAATGTTTAAATGCGATGTGAAATAGAATCGCGGAGTCAATTAAGACGCACCGTAGTGCCGAACCGTTGACGTTAATTAGATGACAAAGCAACTGAGATCGTTTAACTGGTGATTCAGTTTAGTGAACCGCGACGAAACCTACTATATGTTGAATATACAACGCACATCTGTAAATAATGTGCGTAAATTTATATACATGTATTCAGATTACGATTGTAAATTATTTCTAATTATAAGTTTCGTGTGTAATTAAACTCAAATAACTAATTATAAAAATTATAAGTAGTATAATAATTTTTATTACTATTTATACTAAAATTAAATTTATACTAAATTAAAATTATTAAGCATAGAGTATATTTGAAATCCCATTTTAACATGACATATTACAGATTTAATTATTATAAAATAATTAAAATTATTTATAAATATGATGTTATTCGTAAAAGATACCGCATCTGGGATATACTTATCCTACAGGTTTATAACTAATAGTTTAAGTAAATGCTTAAACTTTTGTTAACCACTGAATACCGTGACGAGCAGAATGTACGAACGTTTGCGCGCAAACCCCAGAGAAGGGGATGTTCCAGGCGCTCCCCGCGATTTGCACATTAACGGGGAATAAACGATGCCGAAATACAGCGCGGATGCGCGATCGCTATAATAGGAGCACCGAGTAGTCTATTAAGCGTCCTCAAAACCAGTTAGTGAGTCGGCAATCCAGTTTAGGTACAAAATGGCTGTCGTTTAGCGAGGATTAATGGTCTCGGGAGTGCCCCGAGGCAGCATAATGGGGCAGATGCGTTCTGGATGAGGGGGAACAACCCTCTCTGATCTCTCCTCCCCGCCATTTATATCTCGACAACCTCCGCGCGCCACCCTGCCTCCTCGTGCCTTATCCTACCCCTCCTGTGGCCTCGTTATGTACACCTATCTGACTACAGGCTCCATTATGCCCTTTTTGTGTGATGCTCCACGTACGCCGGATAAATACGCGATATCTGTGCACCTACATACCAACACTTTGAAATTACAGCCTGCGACATTACATGAGTAGCAGGAAATTGTATACCTTTTCTCCTCTATTTTGCAAATTAAAAATTAAGATACGTGAAAGATTTATTATCTCGTGTATACCTAAATAGATTGTATATTGTTATAAATTTTTATGAATAAATCACTTTGTACGGCTTAAGTGTTGACAAAACATTATAGTATTTTAAATTTATTTACAACCATGTAAATAACTTCTTCACAGTTTTGATTTATTGTTTATGGCTTTCATAATATGTTCCAGCAACGGAAATAATGATATATATAATATTATCAACAAAATTGAAATTATGCATTCTCTATTAATAGTTAATTATCCCTTTATCTCAATTGTGCCATTTGCTTTCTCAGTACTCTGGACACCTCATGCATATTTCCCATAATGTTGTCTGAACGTACACAGCCCAGAAAGGGCTGTCCACGTTTCGTGCATACATGTGCGTTTGTGTGGGTGTCACGCACACAACGTTCAAGCAGGGATTTGAGCCTCATATTTGGGCGCCCAAAGCGCCGTTTAGTTTGACGTTTCATGGTCGGCTGACTCCCCTCGCCATCTACCGACGCCACGGTCGGTGTCGTTTTGGTGCTCCTGAGAGAACCGTAAGTACTCGTTTTGAAATCGACTTCTGATGCGCGTGTGTACGCGAACGGATACGTGTGAGCGTGGGGTTGCTGCGCGTCTGTGTCCGGGAATCGAATCTCAGCTTTTGTCGAGGCCGCCCTAGAGACGGCGTTGACAGAGATTTAGGGAGTGCAGTTAATGTGGAATTAGCTGCCACGGAAGTGGCGATACGGCCGCGGCCGTATTATGCCATCACCTGCCGAGGGAAAGACGCTCAGCCATTTTTCGCGAGCCTAATAAGGCGGCACTAATGTTCTCTCGTCGCTTTCTCGTTCTCGCAGCCTTTAATATGTCGTATTAATGCCGGAATCGTCGTAAAAGAAAATATTTGCTCCGCGATGTAGAAGTGAAGCCACGTACTGACGCG